CGAGAGTCTTGACAAAAATAAAACCATAAAACAAAATGCACTATAACTCGTGCCAGAGGCTAAAAATTATATACAAGAGACATGTTGTATATCTCAAAACACTTTGCTTGACTTTTCTCTATTAAATCCATATCTTCATCCTAAAGTATAAGGACTTTAAAAACTCTACGTGACTTGTTGTTATCATTTCATTCATTTCATAACACGTGCTGATTTGTCATCATCTAGTTTCCTGATATAGAAGTAGTAAACAATGCTGATCTTTTGGAGGGAGTAGGCCGAATTCCTCACTTTTTGTTGAAAATTTTGAAGCCAAAAGACAGCGAGGAAAATATCGAGTTTTTGCGAGTTTTCCAACCAAGAAGTGTTGTTCCAAGAGTTCTTTAAAGTCTTCTATTTTCAAACTAACTTTAGTTTCTTTTCTACTTGCTGTTCCCAGAGACTTCTTCGGTTTGGATGCCAAATGCAAAGGGGAGTTTATTTCAGAAATAGCAGAGAAGCAAGGCTTGACCTCTTTGCAAACTGTTCAAAACACCCGCTCCTTGGTGTATCACGTTTAAAGACTTCATTGACAACAGTTCGTATTGAGAAAACTTCAAGTTGTTGTCGACTTCTAGGCTTGAATCTTCAACTTGCTTTTGGTGTTAGGTTGGTACAAGTGATCGTCGAGAAGAGTTTGTATTGTTTAATTATTACACTTTTTCAATTTTATATTTTTTAATAAATATATATTATATTTTATTATTATTTTTTTTTTTGGTATTAAGGTAACCTCTTGGTCATGTTCTTTTTATTTGATTATAGTATTAACTTTTTAGTATATTATCATACTGTATACATAGTGGGAGAGTACAACTAGCTACACATACAACTTTTGATTGCCTATTTAAATAGTCCGCTTATTACTAAGTTCTATACTAGATACCATACCTATAACCTGACTAGGAGGTTATCTATTTAAATCCTCTGCGGCTATGCCGTTAACCCTAATAACTAAGCAAGAATACTTTATACCCCCTTATTTTCAGATACTGACTTAGGACTTTAAAGCAGGCTCATACCCTATAAAGAGCCCTTTATCCTCAAGGTAAACCTGCTAGAGCTTTCTGTACCTACAATCCGGCCAACCTAGTCTTTGGTAACTTACGCTGAGTCCAAGAACAAGTACTTGCGAGCCAAAACCTTTACTGTTACCTACTTCTGCTCTTGTAGAGTTTACTCCAAACCCCAGTACTTTCTATCAAGACAATCTGGTACTTTCCCTTTTTCAGTACCCTAACCAGTTTTCCCAGACTACCAATCCAGATGGCCTGAAAGGGATACTGGTCTTTTGGTATCTGCATTGCAGATCCTTTTTCTCTGGCGTTCTAGCAGCCTGGTTGGTGAAGTATCATCTTTCCAAATATCCGGTCCTTGTTCAGTTATATCAGCCTTAGGTGAAGCCTATTCCAGTAGTACTGTTGAAAGTTTGTACTATCTCTCTACTCAGGACTTGTCAAGCGAGTGCTCCACCGCCGTATCGGCTCTGTAGCTTTTTGCGACCCAGTAGACTTATCGAGGGTTTGTATCAACTAAACTGGCTTGCATGCCTTTGTATAACTTCTATGTTATACAAATGTTCCAGGATCTCACAATTTTATTTGGTGTGACTACGGTTATAGGGTCTTGAGTTTTCCCAGTCATGACAATAGTTGCCAAATCCATTTTTCTTAAATTCAATTTTCGCTCTCCATGGGAATTAAACCGCTTGAAGGTGCAACAACTTCACCACTTCACTAAGTCGCCACACCTTATATTATATTTTATTTATTTTTTGTTATTAAAGTAACTTCTTAGCTATATTTATTTTATTTGGTTATATAGTAGTTTAACTTTTACAATACTATATAATATACTCATACTATATATATATTTGAAGTATACAATTAGCCACATATACAACTTTTAGTTGCCTATTAAAGTAATCTGTTTATTATTAAATTTTATATTAAATGTTATACCTATGATCAGATTAGAGAGTTATCTATTTAAACTCTCTATATCTATACTATATAAGTATAAAATAATGTGCAAAAACATTTTTTTGAAATTTGATCTGAATTAAGCTTAATTTAAACCAAAACTCCTATGTATTATTTCACATTTGTATAGTATATATTATTCTATTAACCAAGCAAAAGTATTAGTAATATCTTATTTTTAGATACTACTATAATTTAAAACTACTTTATTCTTATATTTTATTTATAAACTATTACAGTATCTGTTTGAAATATAGTATTTATAAAAAATATATAATTTTTAATTGAAGTAGAAATTATATTTATCTTTTGAACATTATTATAATTTTATAAAGAATAGAGTTTGGAATTAGGTTTATTTTTTATATATTAAAACTAATTAAACCAAGTTTTAATATATACTGTAAAGATAAAACTGGTTCCAAACTCTAGTGAAGAACCTTTATAATCATATTACAGTATTATTATAGTATTATTGTTAAAAATATCATGACAAGGATATAGTAACTTAGTAAAGTTGGCAAGATGTCACATCTGCAAGCAGCAGGACCAGAATTCGAATCCTACCGGTAACAAAAATTTGAATTTACAGAAAATATATTTGAAAGACTATATTCTATTGGATTATAAAACCTGTAACAGAGTTATATCAGCTTGTATTGAGAAGTAGTGGAACATGTAATGTGACATATTAGTTATATAAAATTTGAGTAAAGCTATCAAATAAATCCAGCGGATTGATAAGATACAGGAGCCTGCTTGGCAAAACCCAAGTAGAGAAGTAGCACAAATCTTTAATGTTATTATATAAAGGATTATCTCTGAAAGTAATGAGAACTGAACAGAACTGAAGTGCTTGGCAAGACACTTCACTAATCAGGCTGCCAGATAAATAATCGAAAAAAAAGAATCTAACCGTGAAGACCAAGAACAGATTACAGTCCTTCCAGACCATCTGAATTGGTAGTTTGAGATGATAGAAATATGGTGATGGTCTGTATAGTAGGTGCTGGGATTTAAATAAACTCTATAAGGGCCAGGTAATTAGGCAGTATAATATGCTTGTAAAAGCTTAGAACCTATCTGACTAATGTGTTTGTGGAAAGGATTGGTGATACAACCTGCTTCTAAAGGTATAAAATCTATCCAGTAGTTGTTATCCAAAAAAAACTAAATCTATACATTAGATGTAGATAATAGGCAGTTTTAATAATAATGACTTGAGAATAAAATAGTCCTATAGGGAATAAGTTAAGCATTCAGGACTTCTTGACTGACTGATATAACAGAGATATACCAGTGATACAAATAGACAAACTACTTAATTAGATACTCAAAAAGTACAGATATAGTTAGAATATACTCTCTAATATATAGGGTCTCTGTGAGATATTAAACTGCAAGTCTTCAACTCAACAATACTTGAATAAATCTAAGAAGGCTAGTTAGTTAAAAAAAAATATATATATAACATTATAACAAAATTATACAGTATATATTTATATAATAGTATGTTGCTAACTTTCACTCCGAATGATGTCACCTGGTTATATAAAGACCAATCAAATTATTGGCTTTTGTATAACTACTGTAAACCAAAAGAGAAAAAAAAAACAAAATCTTTAATAACTCAAAAGTTAATTATAAAAACTATGCTTTAATTTTTAAACAAAAATTTCCAAATTTTATATATATACTATATATTTAGATTCTTTTATTCTTAACCTAAGTTGAATCTAACACTAATTTTAAATTTATTTAATTTTTAATAAAAATTTTATAATACTAGATAATATTATTATAAATAAAAATTATATAATATATTCTTTGCATATTTTATATATCTCTTGTATAATTATGCATCATTATGCATTTTCATGTATTGCTATGCATACTTATGCAAGAGATGTATAAAATAAACAAAAATATATAAAATATACAAAATTTATATTAATTACTTTAACTCTTGTAATTGTCAAATAACTATCTCAGGGACCCTTGGGAATAGTCAATTGACAATCCCCAGAGGCTACTGTATATTGAGCTCTTAAATGTAAGCTTCCATAGTATATGTAATATATATTAAGTGTTATTGACTTGCCCCTTAAACATAAGCATACCAGTCACATGAAGCGCATGTACATACGAAGAGGAGGTTGGTTAGTAAAACAATATTCGTGCTAGTCGTAGATTCTAAACGATGGAAGAAATTTGCGCAAAAATGGACAAAATCTTATTAGAATATTTAAGTTTAATTTCAGCATTACAAGAACAATGGAAACAGATTAGTACAAATTTAGGGAATGTAAGTAAAGGCTTACGAAATATTGGCTAGACCTCCGTATATTATCAAACTTACGAGAACAAGCTTTTTAGGGTTTTTTTCAACTAGCTCATGCAAGATATACAATGGGTCCTCATAGGTTAAATCAAAACCAGTATGATGGAAGGATGCAAGCTACTACTCGAGTGTTAGTTTTTTGCTCTATTTGTTATATAAATTGCTGACTTAAGCAAAGAGTTGATCCGTATGTCACGACAGGTTGATATCTCAGAAAAAAGATACCGACATACTTAATACTCAAAGCGAATTTATTTGTCATTATACTTTGACCACTCTTGAAGAAATTACGGATGATCCTAAGGATAATGATTCTTCATCTCTTCGCCGACGCATGATAAAGGACCCTGAAAATGATATAGCAAAAAAACAATCAAAAAGCCGTGTTATTGAAGATCCATTGCGCTGGTTTGGTATTTTAGTTCCATCGTCCTTAAGAGAATCGCAAAGGCACTTTAAACAAAGTAAATCTTTAATAATTAATGTTACATTGTTTTATCTGGACCATTATCACTTATTTTGGAATTAATTTAGGTCTTTCAGGTATGGTTAATATAATAAACCTTCGTAATGAAATTATCAATAAGGAAGCAGAATACAAATTGTTAAAAAAAGAGAAAGAAAAGTTTATGGAGGAGAACCGAACGAAACATGCCAATTCAATGAAAGACATTTAAGGTATGATTCCTTCGCCCTTAAGTGTTATATAAATGTCATTGATAATTATATTATAGAAAGTTGTAAATTTATAAAAATCTAAATATCAGTTATTTTTGTTAGGTCTTATTTACACATCATTCTTATCTGATAAAAAAA